GACAAGGTGAAAATAGTGATTGTAATAGGAGTAGGTCCAGTGTAATCAGGAGTTCAGCCCACAGAAATATTGGTTTTGGATAACACAGGGCCTCCTGGCCTGAAATGCTATTCAAAAAATTAACGAGGTGGCATACGTACTAACCAAGAAAAATTGATACCATTGTATAAAACTGATACAGCCATGCCAATAAATACCAGCTATATCCCAGCCTGGCCTAGGACCAAATACATTGGCAACAACATAGGTCCTACTTGATATATATATAACAATAGCAGAAAAGCCTGACTGGAGCCACCAAGATACAGTGTCACCAAATTGCCACAAATAGATACGAGTGAAAGACCCCTAAAGATGCAGAACTCTATAATTATATCATAAATGTGTTCCCAAATCTTCCTTTGAGGCTCCCATTTGCTAAGATAACAATGTACTGCAGAAAGGAAACCATTAGGCCTTTTGGAGGTCATCTGGGAGCAGCTCTGAACAAATATAAATTTCTCGGGTCTCTGAAACCATTGTGGTCTATGGAACAAACTATACGTTATAGGAATAAACCCATCCCCCAGTTATTTTTCCAGTGAAGAGTTATAATTTATTTCTTCATCCTCTGTGGCAATATACTCACACTGGATCCCTGATCCATAAAAAGAGGGTTATTGTATTAGGAAGTATGAAGAGATTTGCAGAGATGAGTCCCACCATCAAAAGCTTTAAAAGCAGCAGGAGTGTGACTCTTATCATGTCTTGCTTTAGCATGATCTTTGGCATATGTAGGCGGAGACAGATGGGTCTCTAAGAATGACTTCACAGGCCAGGATCAGTGGCTCACGCCTGTAATCCCCACACTTTGGGAGGCTGAGATGGGCGGATCACTTGAGGCCAGGATTCGAGACCAGCCTGGCCAACATGGTGAAAAAACATCTCTACTAAAAATACAAAAATTAGCCGGGCATGGTGGCATATGCCTGTAATCCCATCTACTCTGGAGGCTGAGGCATGAGACTCACTTGAATCTGGGAGGCGGAGGTTGCTGTGAGCTGAAATTGGGCCACTGCACTCCAGCCTGAGTGACAGAGCGAGAAAGCGAGACTCCGCCTCAAAAAAATAGAATGACTGCACATATTCCGAAACTTAATCAGATGGTGATTCCAACTGCAGCTGCTGTCAGATAAGTTCTTTTTCTTGGAGAAAATCAGAAAGTAGCTGGCTATTGATTTGGTCAATGCTTTTTTGTTTTTCCTTTATTCCAGTAAGAGCACTTGAAGCATTTACTCTATCTCCGTAAGCAGCAGTGTAGATTGTCTTTTTCCAATGTTACATTAAATTTCTATGTCAGAATATCAGTCTTGATATCAGACCTTTGATCAGTTTACCACTGTACAGGGCAGCATGCTGTATGCCTCCAGGTGAGATTCTGATAGGACCTGGAGAATGGAGTCATGTTTCCTGGATGCCTGGTAAGATGTGTCATCCCAGAGAGTGAATGATAAATCCCATGAAAGCACAGAGTCTGCAGCCAAGTTTTGGAGAGGTGCAGTGTCTGGTACATGCTGGGATTTCCCCTTCATCATGAGGAACAAATTGTGTACTTTATTCCTTCTGTAACTAAGGAGAACTCTCAGTGATTGGTGGGTGACATGGTTTGGCTGTGCCCCTATCCAAATCTCACCTTGAATAGTAATAATCCCCACGTGTCAAGGATGGGACCAGGTGGAGATAATTGAATCATGGGGGTGGTTTTCCCCATACTGTTCTCGTGGTAGTGAATAAGTGTCACGAGCTCTGATGGCTTCATAAAGGGGACTTCCCCTACACAAGATCTCTTGCCTGCCCCTATGTAAGATGTCTCTATGCTCTTCTTTCATCTTCTGCCATGATTGTGAGGCCTCCCCAGCCATGTGGAACTGTGAGTCCATTAAACCTCTTTCCTTTATAAACTACCCAGTCTAGGGTATGTCTTTATTAGCAGCATGAGAATGAACTAATCCAGTGGGCTTATTTAAATTCTGTGTACCCTGCTCGAATTCATTCGTGGATTGACCCAAATGCATCTACTTTTGACTGGGATTAGAAAGAGAGGTCTCTCTGGCTGGTCCAGGCTGTGGTGAAATTAGTTCCACCATGTGGACCTTATGAGGGAAAGCCAGTGGGCTCAGAGTTTCTGTGGCAAATCAGGATTATGTATAAAATCAGGAAGTGTGAGCAACACTGTGCCCTCTTCAGACAGTAACTATCCTTTTAACTTACTACTGGGCTACTTCAGATAAAAGCAAGTGAAAAAAACCTATTCAAAAAGGTTCCGTGAAGGCTGCAGACAGACACCATGAGAGCCTTCTCAAGTTCTGAGAGGGGATGGATGGCATGTAAGCAGTTATATGTGAATGCTCAAGTTCACAGGCAATGTATGTTTGATTTAATAAGGAATGTTTTAGAGGTCCCTGTGTCATGGTCTGCCAACTCATCTGACCAACTCAATTCACTATGCAGGTGTCCTCAGCTCTTAGCCTGGTAAGAGTTTACCAATAAGGAATGAAAAGCAAAGAACATACTTGACGATATGCCTGATTTAATTCAGCAAACTTTAAAAAGACACTGCAACTTTTATAAATGAGCACATTTTCCAAATAACCATTTAAGAATATAATATACAGAATATACAGATTCTTAAGTTACAAGCAATAGAGACTGATTCTGATTTCCAACAACAAAAGGAAAGATGCTGGGTCATTCAAAGGAAATGCCAAACAGCTGAGCATTCAGTAGGCTAGAATGAGGGTGGCACTAGAGGTTTAAGCAGCAAGAGCTCACAGCCATCTCTCCAGGAGGCTGCCAGAGGACAACTGAATTCCTGTCACTTTCTCCTCCCAAATCACAGGGAAGGGGCAGTTTCCCAAAATAAGCAGTGTGTGTAGGGGGAGGGGGTTGGGGAATGCTGGACTTTTATTATGTGCTCATATCAGGCTATGCAAACAACCAGCAGACTCCTATACATACAAAGTTGAGTTTTGAATTATACATGTACTTTTTTTTTCTATAAAACCTACACTTCCCCATAATACTATCTGCATTAATACTCCTGATAGGAAAAAAATATTGCAGAATGCTCAAATTAGGCTTATAAAAGTAGGTTCTGAAAAATCTCAGCAATAGCTCCAGAAGCACTAGAGTTCATAATCTAGAATGTATTCCCTTTTCTTTACACTTATCTTTATGTAGCTACTTTTGCTTATGTAATCAGGAAAAACACCTCTATGAGGTAGGTTGATGGCACATATTGATTCATTTGGATGGAGTTACATCTGTTGAAGGCCTAAAACTTGTAAATGCTAATTATACTTACTGATAGCTTTGTGGAGACTGTGGGGAAAAATATTCCTATACTTTGTTGTTTTTAGTGCTGGCAAACATTAAGACATGATTCTTTGGCAATGTAAGTCCTATTTCTTCCCTTTGCATATAGGCAAAGTGTCAGGCTCCAGCCTGAGTTCCAGCACAACCCAGGCTAGGATGGAAACATGAATGGCAAGCTGGAGGACCTGGCGGGGCAGGCCCACAGCGAGTGTTGAAGATCTGAGTTGTGCCCTGAGAGGAAACTCACTGTGACCTAAGAAGAAAGAGGCAGTACAAAGTGGACCCAGTTCTAAGGCCTCCTGGGGATAGGGCCTCCTGGTCCATCATGTCCTCTCCGTAGCCCAAGGACACGTCTGCATCCATGGCACAGAGGGTAAAACCAGAAGGTAGTTTCATCAGAAGTTCTATAGGCTCCCCAGCACAAGCAGCACTGTCTGACATCTAACAGGATGTGTTACAGAATGGGGAGTGAGGTGTTTCCCTCCATCTTCCTAAATCCCAGCATCCAGCTTTGGCATCTGGAGGGGACCCAGAAGGAGAATGGGATGCCTCTCGGGAAAGGGCAGCAGTAGCTGACTACAGAAACAGGGAAAGCTGCTGAGGCTGCTCAGGACGTCTTTTAGCACATGAGACTCACAGAAATACTTGGGGCGGGATGGAGAATGAAAAGGCTTGGCAAGAGCTACTTAAATAGGCGTTAGTTTTTAATCATTAAAATAAACTCTCATTTTGAAAAGCCTGGTGAAGCCTGTGGAGCTTGGAATTTTCAGAGGAGATGGCAGTAACATCACCAGACTGTAGAATTATATATATATATATATGTTTTTCCCAATAAGGTAATGATGCAGATATCCACACTGGTACCCTCAACACTCTCTTGCCCTGTATAGTGATGCATACTGGCACACAGGCAAAGGTTGGATTGAAACGGGAATACTTTATAGACAAGGACCCATGTATTTATCTTTTCTGGATAAGAATTAAACTAATACTGGTATCAGGATTGCTAGTATCATTAACTGATATAAACAGCCAGAACATATAGCAGGGTCATCTTTTAACTCCTGGGACTTCATTTCTCTGAGTCCTTTGCCACTGCTATTAGGAGCTAGTTTTACTAAAACACTCAAAATATGAGTTTAAAGTAAGAAATGAAGTAAACAGGCTGGGTGCAGTGGCTCACACCTGTAATCCCAGCACTTTGGAAGGCCGAGGCGGGTGGATCACATCACGAGGTTAAGAGATCGAGACCATCCTGGCCAACATGATGAAACCCTGTCTTTACTAAAAATATAAAAATTAGCTGGGCATGGTGGTGCATGCCTGTAGTCCCTGCTACTTGGGAGGGTGAGGCAGGAGAATTACTTCAACCTAGGAAGTGGAGGATGCAGTGAGCCGAGATTGTGCCACTGTACTCCAGCCTGGCGACGAAGTCAGAGTCCATCTTAAAAAAGTAAACATGTCCTTCCTGTTCTCATTTTAAACTTGATTTAGACTTCCAATAATGAAAGACAAGTGGGTGTGTCACATGTATGCTAGCAATGTGAAACAAATGCTAATCATATTTTTCAATTCGTAACTGCAGTTTGATTTTTGATGTTAGCTATGGGCTTTGGATCACCCTTCAATCAAATCAGTTTCACAAGTTAAATGGATTGTTTTTATTAATTTACAATGAAATAGTTTTTGAATGACTTAACACAAGAACCTAGAGATAACATCACAATTGCACTGTTACAAAGTCTAAAGGCCTATTCATTTCACTGTCAGTTGAAATTCATTACCAGGTGAAAATTCGGGAGCTGGGTTTTGCACTGAGGATGCTACACAGCCACCAGCCTTTTTATTTTGCTCTTAATAACAGAAATACTGACTTAGTGAAATTACAAGCATAGGCCTCTCAATAGCTTTTTACGAGTCTGAACTTTTGCTTTCAATACCAAATAGTATCTGAAAAACATGCTCACTTTTGTGCTTCTTGAGAAATTCTAAGAACTGGCCCAGATTCATGTGATAGTCATTCCTTAATCCATAGTCACCATGGGCCTCAAGGAGTAATTCTTCAAAAGAATGGAAAAGGCGCAGGTCCTCACCATTTCCTTCTGTCTCCACGCTTTCGGCATGCTTACAAGAAATGTGCTTCCAATTGGGGTACCTAATTGTGTGCCAGAACTCCTCACAGTGCTCTTTCAAACCCTCCACACAAATTATACCAGGCTTTCCTGTCATGCAAAATCCAGTCACATCTAACCTTTTCCCAACATCCAAAATCTTTTTCCTTAGGTCCTGCTGATATATATGGTGACTGTAGATCCACATTCGGAGGAATGTGTTCTTGACTGGCTTTGCTTGTGTAGATGGTTCATACACAAGCTTTCTGCTCAGGAAATAAGATGCACTGTTGTCCTGTAGCCACTGGATTGCTGCACATACGCAGAGCTCACCTGGATCAAAAGTCCCTATGTAAGAAGTGAGACCTTTGTTGAGAAGTAGCTGCTGATGTCTGTCAAGTTCAGATGACCGTCCAAACAGCTGCAATGCTACATAGGGGTAGCTGTGAGGCATGGTCACTTGCAAATCAATTTTCACCTTAAAATGAAAATCAAATAGATTTAAATACCATAACATCCCATAAGCTAGTTTATCAATAGCAACTGCATGATTTTGAGAAATGTTATTGCTACTATTAAATGACAGCTGTGTACCAGGTACTTTACATACACGATTGCTTCCTTTTATGCATTAATTATTTCAATATTTATTGAACAACTACATGTGCCAGGTGCCCTTGTGCTGGGATAAATAAGTGAATAAGCCAGACATTATTTTTGCTCTTCATGAAGTCCAGAGCCTAGTGAAGGAGACACACATTAAACAAATAATTACACATAGCAAGTATTTAATTTCAATTGTGAGAAGCATTACCATGGAAAAGTGGAGGGTTCCATTGAAGTGTGTAACCAGCGGGACAGAATCCAGTCTGGGGAACCAGGAAGTTTCCTGACAACTGAAGGATGAGTAGGAAATAGCTACAACAGTGGTTCTCAAATGCCCAGTCCGCGTGTTACCTATGCTATGCTAATGTTGCTGGAGATAAACGGATCAGAAGATGGAGGTAAATTCATTTTTAGTCTTTAGATTTTTCCATCCGTATTTGCTTTCTGTGTTGTGCCATAAAAAAATCCACTCATTTACTCCTTAAAAGCCAGTTTTGTTACAGGAGATATTTAGATTTATGAAAATCATGATACATGTGCAAGGTAGTCCAACTGGATGAGTGAACAAAATAATAACGGCATAAGACTGCAAGATAGCTTCAATAAAAACTCCAGGTATATTTGTTAAAAAGGTGTGTATGTTTACATAAAATTCAAGATATTTACTGAAGACAATTTACAGAACATTCCATATCTTTCAAACAAGGTAATATGCACCCGGAATATTTCTATCTTTCTTTGACAGAAAGCTGTTCCAGATGTTTCAGTTAAAAACTGGGCACCTGGCAAACACTTAAATCAGGGCACCTACCTTGGGCTCCTCAATCTGGAGCGTAATTACAAATTCGATTTTTGGCGGCAGCGCCTCCCTTGTGCCTTCCAAATACCTCTTTATATTCGTCAGGGCATTTACATCTTCAAGTTTTACTTCTCCTTGGTTAGGAAACATAGAAAACAGCATTTCCATCTCCAGTAGCTGAAGCTGAAGGCTTTCTTTCACCGAAGCAGACATGTTGCCTTGCAATCAACCTGCCTGGAAACCTCACAAGGCTCAGGGACGCTGGGTTTGTCAATGCCAGCCGGTGTCCAGCGAAATTTCCCGAAGGTCCCTTTACGTGGAAGCAATTCTGCAGGAACGCTTTGCACCGAGAGCTAGGGGCACAAACCGGACACTTACACTCTTCTTTATTTCCTGACTTCAAAATCTAGTATGCACAACATCCCCTAAAACACTCCGTTAAAACCCATATTCTGCGTACCAGGGCTCCGGGCTCCCGCCTCCCGCACCCCGCACTAGATAGGGGAATCTGCACTTTCAACAGGTGTTTGGAATTGTCCCGCTGCAGGTGGCAGGCAGACACTTGCAGCCGCTCTGCAAGCCTGAATTCTAGGAAAGGCTGGGGCCCGGCTTCCAATCCCACCTGGGGCTCGGGCTTGGGCGGAGCCAGACGCTGCGGCGAGAGAGGCTGCAGTGCCGGCGGGATGGGCTCCGGGTTCCCCAGCCCTGGTGTTACCCCCAGCGCCAGTCGCCACCCCTGGGTCTCGGACTCGCGGACCGCCCCCCCGCCCGCCACGCCGGAGTGGCCTTTTCGCTTGGGCCGCATCCCAGGGCTCCGGACGCTTACGATTCACTGGCCTGTGCCCCGAGGGACCCAGGATGAGGGTAGGGGGTGTCTCAGAGGTCATTAAATAAAAGATGTTTACAGCGAGCTGGGGGAAGGGGGTACCCGGGGAGACTGCGGCCGGAGAAGGCTTCCCGGATTCAAAGGTTTGGGAGATGACCTCGACGTCGGAGGGGGGATGCGGGCCGCCGGCGGCGCTCACTGTGGGCGAGGTCGCCCCGTCCGAGGCCCAGCGAAGGGGCTGATACCCCACCCCCGCCCCTAGCCAAGACCACTAGGAACCCCGGCTTCCCAGGAACGCAGGGCCTGCCGCCCCCAGATGCCCGGATTTGGAGGCGGAGGCTGCGTCTCCGCGGCTGCAGTGCTCTGAGGGCCCGCGACCCTCGGCCCCAACCCCCGGGCCACCGCTGGGGCCTCACCCTTCCTGGTCATTCAATGGAAACAGCCCCAGAGCCCGCTCGGAACCGCATCCGCAGTTCCTCAGGCGCGAGCTGCGCGCGCCCGGCGGCGAGGCGGGGGCGGGGCCGGCGGACCTTCCTCCGTCGTGATTGGCCGGGGGGCGCGGCGACAAGCCGGAAGCCACGCAGGGCCACGTCTACGGTTCTGAGGACTGGGTCTGGCTGCTGCAGACGTTGTCGCTTGGGCGTTTCTCCGCTGTGTGTAGGTGTAGGGGGCTTCCTGACCGAGGTAAGCTGGGCCCGAGTCTCGGAGTTGAGAAGGGAAACTACCGGTCGTCAAGGGCTCGGTGGGAGCGGGACAGGTCAGATTCTCGGCCGGACGGAGGGTCTAGCGGGCCGGCGCGACTGACCGAGCGGCGGAGCGCGCAGGACACACCTTCAGGGCCCTGCGCCCCGCGAGCGGGCTGCTCTCGGGCCCGGCTGCGGGTCTCCTGCCTAGGCTCTGGTCCGTGGACCTAGGCGAGCACCTCAGGGTGGAGTGCCAGGTAATTCGAGGGTAGGCGGGAGAGAGGCACTAAGGAGGTTTGAAGATTGAATGGAGGGTAGGGGGATACTCTTAACTTTTTGAGTGGACTCTGGATTTGGCAAATGTGCTTTCAATAAAGGCATTCGCAGACGCGTTGAAAGTAGTTGTAGGACCTGAAACGTATATTATCTGGACCTTTTTTTTTTAAAATGGCTTTGTGGAGTTAACAGGACTGGTTTACACCCTTATGAATAATCATGACACATAACTGACTGCTCAGTTTTTACAAATATGTATTTATCCTTAGGAAAGAGATTTGACCACTGTCTTGAACTAAATTAGCTTGCCGAATGCCAGCTTTTTCCAACTGGACGAAAGTAACTGTTTTTCACCATTTCTTGTAAGTTCTGTTCATTGAAGCAATGAAGGACAATAAAGAAAACAAGATTATGAGGCTAGCAGCTGGAGGACTGCTCCTCATCTCTGGGCGAATTGGGAATTAATTGACCCAGGAAATGTATAATGTATGTGGACTGCTGAAGGAAAACTACGGACTGAGGTTGGAAACCCCAAGTTCCACTTAATGGGAGTATCCCAGAGAAAGCAGTATTAGTGGGCTAAGGGCCGATGTTTTTGTTCTTGTTGTTTGTTTGTTTTTGAGAGGGAGTCTCGCCCTGTCGCCCAGGCTGAAGTGCAGTGGCGCGATCTCTGCTTACTGCGACCTCCACCTCCTGGGTTCAGGCGATTCTCCTGCCTTAGCCTCCCGAGTAGCTGGGACTACAAGCGCGCGCCACCACGACAAGCTACTTTTTGTATTTTTAGTAGAGACGGGGGTTTCACCATATTGGTCAGGCTGGTCTTGAACTCCTGACCTCGTGATTCGCCCGCCTTGGCCTCCCAAAATGCTGGGATTACAGGTGTGAGCCACCGCACCTGGTCTGTTTGGTTTGTTTTGTTTTGAGACAAGAGTCTCCCTTTGTCACCCAGGCAGGAGTGCAGTGGCGCCATCTCAAATCTCAGCTCATTGCAACCTCCACCTCCCGGGTTCAAGAGATTCTCCTGCCTCAGCCTACCTAGTAGCTGGGATTACAGGCGCCCGCCAACACACTCGACTAATTTTTTTTTTGTATTTATAGTAGAGAGGCGGTTTCACCATGTTGGCCAGGCTAGTTTCAAACTCCTGACCTCAGGTGATCCGCCTGCCTCAGCCTCCCAAAGTGCTAAGATTACAGGTGTGAGCCACCGCTCCCGGCCGTTGTTTTATTTTTTAAAGTAAAGGAGAAAGGTGGCATTCTTTAGGAAGAAGATATTGCTAGTTTTAGAGCAACATCGTAGAAGGGTGTCCTGATTGTCCTTAAGAAAATGGAAAAAGATCTGGGTAGTCTTGGAGAAGAAACTGTTGCCTTTTGCTTTTCCTTTGAGGATATGTCTCTGTAGTTTCGGAGAAATAGCAAAAGAACCACAAAGATTTCTCAGATATTTGGGGATATGTAGTTCCAGTCCACTCAAGAATCTGACTTTAGGCCTCAATCCATCACCAGCTATCTATGTTAATTTAGGTTTGTTTCCGCTTTTGTAAAAGGAAATGATCTTTGAGCTCATTGGAGTCTCTGAATAGGTGTAAAATCTTCATTTTAGTTGAGAGTGGACCAATTTAAGTGTGCCCGGGTCCGGGAATAGTCCTGGAGCTAAAATGGGAGGAGAGTGGGGACAATCTGATATCTGCCCTGAGTCTTCCCAGGAGTGGACAATACAAGTTGGGCAAGATCTTCTAGGTAATTCTAACCCACAGGACTTACTCTCCTGCCCATTGCTCTGTCAAACATAGGGTTGTTTGAGGAGGTTCAGACTGAGACAGACCTATTTGTTTGGGGTGGCAGTTTTTGAAGCAAATGGTTTCTTGAGAGGTTACTTGTTATGCCTGAAACAATATTTCTTAATTTTGTAGACATGGATTTAGGTGCTATTACAAAATACTCAGCATTACATGCCAAGCCCAATGGACTGATTCTTCAATACGGGACTGCTGGATTTCGAACGAAGGCAGAACATCTTGATCATGTCATGTTTCGCATGGGATTATTAGCTGTCCTGAGGTCAAAACAGACGAAATCCACTATAGGAGTCATGGTAACAGCGTCCCACAATCCTGAGGTAATGGGTTTAGTGCCCTGATAAAGCAGACCATTATTTACAATACCAAGCCTTAGTGTCTGAGCAGTTTGACCTAAAGTACAAATTCTAATTCTAGGAATGTGCCTTCTCATTTATATGTGCTTTGGATGTGAAACCACTTTTTTTTTTTATTTTTATTTTTTTAAGAGCGTGATCATTAAGCTCATGATTCCTAAGGGTGTGGAAAGAATGAAAAGATACTGTCTTTTTTTTGGAGTATTCATGTTAGAGAAATAACAATGTTCTTCCAAATTTATTGATTTAAGACATGTTTGGTAATTGAAAATTGTTTCCTTTGTTAACTTAGCAGTGATTAAAGATACTGGGGATGGATGAGGAAGGGTAAAGATTTGAAAAGAAACTTTTTGAACATTTTCAGACAGGTTTTTATAGCTCGGCAATAATTTCTTGTTCTGAATGAACAAACAGGTGAGCTTTGGCAGAATATTGATGATGCCTGATGCTTCTAGTCTTTGTGACAGATTTGAATCAAAGTATTCTTTTTGACACAATTATTTTTTCAGCTTTATTGTGGTATAAGTGATAAATAAAAATTGTATATATTCAAGTCATACAACACCATGTTTTGATATGTGTATACATTGTGAAATGATTAATACTATCAGGCTAATTAACATATACATTACCTCACATAGTTACCTTGTTTTATGGTGAGAATACTTAAGATGTACTCTCAACACGTTTTCAATATATATTATTATGAACTGTAGTCACCATGCTGTACATTAACATCTTCCAGAACTTATTCATCTTATAACTGCAAGTTTATGCTCATTGGCCAGCATCTCCCCATTTCCCTTACCCTCTAGCCACCACCATACTACTCTCTGTTTCTGTGAGTTCCACTTTTTTACATAACACATGTATGTTATGATCCTGCGGTATTTGTCTTCATGTGTCTGCTTATTTAACTTAGCATAATGTCTTCCAGATTCAACCATGATGCAAATGGCACTATTTCTTTTTTAAGGCTGAATAATATTCTGTTGTGTATATATACCACATTTTCTTCATCCATTTATCTGTTTATGTGCACTTAGGTTGTTTCTATATCTTAGCCAACCTCTTGACACAATGTAATTGTTCTGTATTGTCTGTAGACCATTAATACAGGGTTTGAATAATACGCTTCTATTTGATTGCTTGGGGTGTGGGATTTTTGCCTTTGTAGCTAAATCAGCAGCAAGTTAAAGTGGTGTAGGTCTGTGAAGGATTGTAACCTCCTCTTCCCCCAAACAAGGGCATTGCTTGTCCAAATATGTGATCACTATAAATGTGTAAATGTCTAAATATGTAAATCACCATAATTGATTGACCGATCGACTTCTAGGAAAAGCCCCACATTTATTGCTAGTTCCAGAGGCATTCTCAAAATGATTCTCGTTTCTTTCAGGTGACATTCACTGTGAACTACATTTTCTTTCTAGGAATTTGAGCAGAACAGTGTTGGGAGGCAGTTTTCACTTTCTGTCCCACCCGCTGGTTGACAAGCTGGCTAGTGTGTTCTTGGAGTTCCAAGTCATAGTGAGAAGGATCTCTGTGTGCCCTTATTCTGCTCCACTTGTGCCCTAGTCAGTTTATTGATAGTGAATGCACAGATCACAGCCTTTTACAAAGGCTAGTGTGGCATAATGTTTTTAGGCGAGTCGGATAGACTTGCTGTTTTAATCAGTACTGACATTTATTAGCTGTATGGTCATAAGCAAATTACCTAACCTCTCTGAAGCTCAGTTTTCTCAAAGTAAGATTGGACTAAAAATAGATTATTAGTTTAATTGATTTATGTGTGTCATGAGGATTTAATGAGGTAATAGATACATAAAATATCAGTATTAAGATTTGGTGTTTATTGTTGAAGCTGCTCAGCCATCACTGTCTTTGGTTGAAGGGAAACAGCTTTTGCGTTCTACTCTCAACTCAGCCTCATGAGTATGCACAGATTGCTTGTTTGTTTTTCTTTTAAGGAAGACAATGGTGTAAAATTGGTTGATCCTTTGGGTGAAATGTTGGCACCATCCTGGGAGGAACATGCCACCTGTTTAGCAAACGCTGAGGAACAAGATATGCAGAGAGTGCTTATTGACATCAGCGAGAAAGAAGCTGTGAATCTGCAACAAGATGCCTTTGTAGTTATTGGTAGAGATACCAGGTGATGATAAGAGTTACTGGTAAAAAAAAAAAAAAAAAGCTTTGGGAACGTGATATAAACGATTGTATCAGTTTTAATCCAAGACAAATGGAAAGAAGTAAAGTGGAACTACCCTGAGTTGCATGTCTACCTGCATGACCTTTTTAGTAGGATGTGGTAGCTAAGTCACAACTGCAGCTTGGGGTTTGGAGTCTGACTCTGGTTTGAAACCCTACTCCAAAACCCAAGCTGCAGAATAATATATGGAAAATACTTCCTGACACAAGAGAAGCACTGAGTAA